CCTGAGTAGCTGGGATTACAGGCACGTGCCACCATGCCCAGCTGATTTTTTGTATTTTTAGTAGAGATGGGGTTTCACCATGTTGACCAGGATGGTCTCGATTTCTTGACCTCGTGATCCACCCGCCTCGGCCTCCCAAAGTGCTGGGATTACAGGCGTGAGCCACCGCGCCCGGCCCGCATTTTTTATTTTCTTAATTTTCTTTCTTATGGTTAGAAAAATTTTTCTGTTTTCTTGTCAAACAGATTATAGTTTCTTTGTGAAACCCTTCTCCTGATTTGAACTCGAAATACCTGTGGTCAAGATGGCCTTTACGTTCTCTTCTATGTTTTGCTTATTCGTGTGCTTGTTTTATTCCTTATCTGAGGATGGCAAATAGCTGTCATGTTTGCTTACAACCTGTTCCCCCTTCCATTCCTGTTAATGATGATCTATTATAATATCCCCTGGCCTAGTAAAATAATATTTGATTAGCAATGTCTGTAATGGATTTATGCAGCAGCAAGTCAGACTAGGTAGATACATCAAAATTTGTTGTCATTTAAAAATAGAATGTAAGTGCCTTGAAGGCTAGGGATAATACTTTTCTCATCTTTATATGTTTATATTTTAGTACCTCCTTGTATAACACTGGATACTCATTAATATTTATTGAATTGAAAAGACACAAGATATTCTGTGATGACATCAAAAGTTATACAGAACTGGGATTTTTTTTTCTTTCCTTTCTCAAGTTCTAATACTGAGAATAATTCTAGTGCTATAACTTTTCCAGAAATTGAATTGAATTTTGTAGGATGAAAACATAAAGCAAGATAATATTGGAGAATAGTACAGAGTTATTAAATGCTGAATCTAGATTCAGGAGAAAAGCAAGAGGTATCAGGAAGAATAAAGGTGATAATAGAGAACATATTTTTTAACTTAACAGTTACCACAGAATAGGGAGTAGAAAATGAAAGTAACTTAGTTGGTCTCTAGGAAAGAACAGAACTCCTTTGGGCAATCTTTTTCTTTCTTGAGAGTGGGGTTGTTGGGTATTTAAAGCAAGATTTTAATTAGATAGCATTATTACTCTAGTGCCCAGTGTTTTTTGCCCCTTCTGATATGCTCTGAATTGTTTGAAAAGGATTGTGAGTGTTGTTTGTTTGTTTTGGTGCATATCCCCCAGGGTGGCAGGGGCTGCTGGGATCTGGTAGCGTTCTCTTGCTTGATCTCATAAGCATTACTTTGAGAAAATTCAGAGAGCTGTGCTTTAGTATTTTCTGTATGTATCTGACACTTCAATAAACTTCATCAAAACCAACCACCATGTGCATTTATATGTTACACGTACACAGAACTCTGTTTCCTGTTTATTCAGCAAAGCAGTATTTTGGTTTTCTCTTGGCTTTTACTGTTTTTCATTTAAAAATACATCCTTGTGTTTCTGTTCCTAGTCAGCATTTTTACTTATCTTTCTTAAATATTGGCTGTTAAGTCAGTGGTGGTAGATTTCTTTTCTGTGTGTACTTAGCCCCATGCCAGTCTATTTTGATTCTTTTGTCTTTCCCCACCTCTGTCTTCTCTGTTCAGAGAAGACAGAGGTGGGGAACATACATAGTTTTAACATATAATTTATGTTAGAGACTATTTAGTCATTTTAAAGTAGTTTATTTTACTGTTAGTAGTTTGAAAAGTAGGTGAGCTTATTTTTAATAGACTTTTATGACAATCTGTCCTCAATTCTAGTCCTTACTTACAAAGCTATAAATTGTGGCTAGACTTCCACTGATTTTCCATCCTTTTTAAGACAGTGACCCCTAAAAGAGCAAATTCTTTTCTTACTAAGGTGTAAAACAATTACAAGATATTTTTTTTAAAGGAGAGTCCACAAGCTTCCATTGTTTTCCCGATGAGAACATTGCATTTAATCAGTTGACCTGAAAACCTTATTTTACTTCCTGTTTATGTAACTATATATTCTTTTTGACAGCATGATTCTGGAACAGAGTGCACACCAGGAGAATCTAAGAATTTAGGACAAAAAGAAAATGGGAATTACATCATGTATGCAAGAGCAACATCTGGGGACAAACTTAACAACAATAAATTCTCACTCTGTAGTATTAGAAATATAAGCCAAGTTCTTGAGAAGAAGAGAAACAACTGTTTTGTTGGTATGTATATTTTCCCAACATTTTGTTATGAACATTTCAAATATTCAGATAACTTGAAAGAATTCTATAGTGACTACTGACATAACTACCACCTGCATTTTGCTATTGTTAATACTTTGCTGTATTTCCTTTATCTTTTACTTCTTAGTCTTGCCATTTCTCAATTCATGTTTTATTGCAATTTAAACTAACTTGCAGCCATGAGTATATGTCACACCTAAACATTTTAGTCTACAAATAGTTAACTAGAGTTCAAAATTGTTAATAGTTCTTTTTCTGTTTTCTACATAAGTAAAATGCACATTTTAAGTGCATCATTTGATGAGTTTTGACAGATGCATTTACCTGTGTAAACTAAGTACCTATCAAGACAGAGGACATTTCTGTCACCCCAGAACTGTCTTTTATTCTCCTTCCCAATGAAGCTCTGTCCCAACACACCCTCAGAGGCAACCACTATCTGATTTATTTCACTATAGTTTGGCTCTGTCTTCATATAAGTGGAATTACGTAGACATTGGCTTTGTCTTCATAAAAGTGGAATTATGTAGTTTTGTGCATAATTTGTGCATAAAATTTTGTGCATAAAAGTTTCCCTTTTGTGGAAGGCTGTTTAACTCAGCATACAGCTTTGAGATTCATGATTAGTATTTTACTCCTTTTTATTGCTGAGTAGCCTATATCCCAGTTTGTGCGTCTTTCCTATGATGAGTACCTTGGATTTGGGCTAATGTGAATAAAGTTACTATGAAATTATTTCTTATTTTAGTAAAATATATATAATATAAAATTTGCCATTTTAAACTGATTTTAAATGTACAATTCTGTGACATTAATTATACGTACAGTGTTGAGTGTGAATGTAGTCAGTTACATTCACTATTAATTTCCAAACTCTTTTTCATCATCCCAAACAGAAGTTCTGTAACCATTAAGCAGTAATGTTGCGTCTTCCCTTCAGCCCCTGGTAACCTCTAATCCACTTTCTGTCTTTATGAATTAGCCTATTTTAGGTATCTCATGTAAGTGGGGACATATGATATTTGTTCTTTTGTTCCTGGTGTATTTCACTTACCATAATATTTTCAAGGTTTATCTGTGTTGTAGCATGTATCAGAGTTTCATTCCTTTTTATAGCTGAATAATATTCCATTGTATGTATAGACCAGATTTTGTTTTTCCATTCATCTCTTAATGTCTTCCTTGTGGCATTGAACATACTCTAAATATTTACTTTGTATTAGGATTTTTTTGGTGTGTGTCCTTGTCCTATTTCACAAGACTATACGGTTTCTTAAGGGCAAACACTGAGGCCTGTTCATCTTTGTACATTAAGAGCACTCAAAGAGGAGTTAAACATGTGACAGCAGTGGAGAAAGAATTGAGGAAGATCTGCAGATAAGCATGACATTTTGTTTTTATTTGAAATTTTGTTGAGATAATTATAGATTCACATACAGTTTATAAGAAGTAATAGATTCTCTGTACTCTTCACTTATTTCCCTCCAGTGGTAATGTCTTACAAGACTAGTACAGTATCACGACCAGAATATTGATACTGAGAAAATCCACAGATCTTATTCCAATTTCCCTAGTTTTTCTTGTTCTCACTTCTCTTTTTGTGTATTTAGTTCTATATAATTTTATTACCATGTGTAGTTTATGTATCCACCTTCACAGTCAAGAGTCAGAACAGTTCTGTCATTACAAGGATCCCCCATCGTTGAGCTTTTATAACAAGACTTACCTCCCTTCTGTTGTGCCTTCGTCCACCCTACTAACCTGTTCTCCGTATGTAAAGCTTTGTCACTTCAGAAAAAGTTATATAAATAAAATCATACGGTATACAACCTTTTGGAATTGCCTTTTTTCACTCAGCATAATTACCTGGAGGTTCATCTAAATTGTTGCCTTTATCAATAGTTGGTTCATTTTTATTTCTGAGTAGTATTTCACGGTATGTATGTACTGCAATTTGTTTAACCATCCATTTGAAAGACAGCTGGGCTGTTTCCAGTGTTTGGCTATTATGAATAAAACAGCTATAAACATTTATGTGCAGGTTTTTTGTATAAACGTAACTTTTTACTTTGAGATAAATGCCACCAAATCCAATTGATGGACCATATAGCAATTGCTTGTTTTGCTTTGTACAAAACTGCCAAACTGTTTTCCAAGGTGGCTGTACTATTTTACATTCTCACCTGCACTGCACAAATGATCCAGTTTCTCTGTGTCTTCACTAGCATTTAGTGTTTTCATGATTTTTAATTTTACGGTTTTGATGGGCATGTTGTGATATCTCATGGTTTTAATTTGCATTTCTCTGGTGGCTAATGATGCTGAACATCTTTTCATGTGTTTATTGGCCATTTAGAAATTACCTTTGGTGAAATGCCTGTCCATACTTTTTGGTCATTGCTAATGGGATTTTTTTCCTTTTGAGTATTGAGAGTTCCTTATATTGTCTAGACAGTAGTCTTTTGTCAGATACTGGTTTGCAAATATTTTCTCCCTGTCTGCAGCTTGTCTTTTCATCCTTTTCACAGTTCTTTCTTGGAGAAAAAGTTTAAAATTTTGATGAGGTCCAGTTAATCAGTTTTTCATTACATTGATTGGCTTTATCTTTTTTTTTTTTTTTTTTTTTTTTTTTGAGACAAAATCTT